GTAGTCCACCACTAGCAGTGGTTTACCTACTTCACGCCGCTGGCGAGTATGGTATTTTGTTGATGTTATAAAGATTACCGTTTCATTTCAAAAATCTGTTTTGGTTATTCCTCATACAGTAACCATTTCTAGGTTACAATACTTGTGAAGTAAAAAATGCTAAACTTATGTACAGTACAAATTAAAAAAAAAAAAATGATGTAAACATACACGAGCAGTAACGTCAATGGAAGTAACCAAGTTATTGAGATATCTATTTTTAAAAAATATTTAAACTTATTAGTTATTAACTATATATTTTAAACTATCTATTGTGAACATTTTATAACATTTGTACAGTATTCATAATTAATTTTAGTAAGTGCTGTTTTCAGTTTTTCATATAGATATCTTCAAGAATGTTTAGTTTATGTTTATTATTTTCATGAAAAAGTATAGATGTATTATTGACAAAATTTTTTCTAAATATCCATTATGAGCAGGCATGTTGTTGTAAATGTTGAGAGATGTTCGATGCATCATTCATATGAAAATTCAGCCTTCTAGACAACGTAGTTATGGTGTGACTATTTTTTCTGGTGGACATACAATCTCTTAATAGGCATGTAAATGTATATATAATGTTTAAATTTTTATATAATATTTTTTTGCAACACGTTACTTGGTGGGGAGGAGTCAATACGAATAATTTAATTGAATATATAGAGTTTATACATTTTCTATTTCAAATATAAGTATCCGCTATAATGAAGTTTGAAGTATATATATATACACACACACACATATATATATATATAAATCGTCAGTTTTTCATAATTTTCTAATTCAAAAATGTTTAATTATACTTCAGGGGACACTTCAACGTGGTTTAATGGTTAACAAGCGTGTCTCGCTAGATCAATTACGAGTGAATAGTGAGTTTGATCCACACAGTAATATGATTGGTTGGTGTCAGCCATAAATACAGACTGATGTGGAGGTACAGGAGAACGCCTATTGTCTTCGCCTATTGCCTACGCCTATTGCCTACCACTACGACGAGGACCAGTCCATTACGGTTACCTGTTAGATTGTCCTACCCAGTTACTGTAGTCAACAACCACTTTGCTACTTCGAACAAATATATCCCTTTCCGGGACATATCAAAAAGAATGAAAGTCAGCATAAAATATTATTATATTATTATTATCTATAAAAAGAATACCCGCTCGGCCCGGTGGCTAGGATCAAAGTGTAGTATCTGCGCTTTGTGAGCTGCCGAGTCGAGTGTCTGTCGAACTCTCTGCTTGCAGAGGGGAACCCGGACGAGGCTCCGCCGAAGGGTGGGGTTTCGTTCGGGGAGGTTGACGGAACTAGCCCGCTTGGACGGGTTTAGATGGGTTTTATTTTTGGCTGGGCCTACGGGCTCAGACATACCCACATTAAAAAGGCCTTGTGCCACATTTGGTCCCCGTGGGTGGATTGATAAATACCATAAAATATTATTGACAAACTCTTTGTACTTGTTCTACATGCGACATTACTAAAGGACAGCCCCACACGTATACGCACATATATATATATATATATATATATATATATAGATAGATAGAGAGTCATCCGCAGACAGACTGTTTCGCTTTTCCACAGCTCCTCAGTGTGGCTAGACGCCCGATTGCTTGAAGCCAGGATCGAAATCCGACTGATTTGACATCAGACCAGATATCCTACCTCTAGGCCATCGTCGCACGATGGTCTAGGGGTAAAGGAAGGGAATTTTAACGCTAATGTTTAATACCAGAATGAGCCATAGTTTTTTTTCAAAATCCTCTTTCCCTGGAGAGCTGAACCGGTCAGGCAAGATGAGAACGAATAGAGTAAAATTCCAAAGTTGGTAACATTTAATTTAAAAGAAGGCTCAATACAAAGTAGAGCAATATTCTTTATTTTAGAATATTACATCGAAAATCGTGTCAAAATCGCTAGAGAATACAATACAGAATCGATACAGTTTCGATATATATATATATATATATATATATATATATATATATATATATATGTGTATGTATGTGTGCTCCTGTGTTATTTAATGTTTATGACTAATAATCTACGCTAAAAATGTTCAATTTTGCTTTTTTTATGTTTCTTTAATTATTGAATCTAGTTACTTTAAAGCTCGATTTTATCATGGACTAAATTGCTTATTTTCATTCGATCATTTTTAAATTACATTTTTAATTAAATAATTTACAATTTTGCAATCGCTGTACATACATCATCCGTCTCCATTCTCTCCTTCTCTAATATACACACACGCATATCTATCTATCTATCTATCTATCTATCTATCTATCTATATATATATATATATATATATATATATATATATATAAAAAAAAGAACAGTAACATATGTAATACAGTGTTCTTATTGATATTTTTATTCTTTTACAAAATAGTGCCCAATGTAAATTTACAGAGCATTAATATTATAAATTAACTGATTTAAAATACGTTTTTTTTCGTTACACAGTAATAACCATGTTTCAAAAATGAAAGCTAAAAACTTTAAATTTAATTTTTTAATTAAATTAAAAACATTAATTCCATTTCATCCTCAAACGAATTTTGGAGTAATTTATTTTTTTAAATTTACTGAGTTTTAACTGCAGAGAAATTCATAATTTACGGTTACCAAGGATACAGAGAAATCCAATCATCCAGACAAGGGGTGGTAGCGTGTTCATTTTTATTAATATTTGTTGTATCAGTTATTTGTTACATTCAAAAAAGGGTTTAGGTACGGGTGGGGATGTATTTTCAATGAATTCTGACTGACATCCGTTAAATTCATATATATATATATATATATATATATATATATATATATATATATTTTTGTGTGTGTGTGTGTGTGTCTGTGTGCAATCATTTCATCAACAGTAAAGCAACTAAGACGCAAAGTGTTGCTGAGTGTGAGAGAACATGAGAAAAAACAAAAAAAAAACATTATTATTTTTTAAAAATCTTTTCACGCTAAACAAGGCGGGAGTGCCACTAGCACGCAAGGGGTTACAGAGGATTGGGAGTAAGAAAAAAAAAGGCATGAAAGAGGAAAGGATGACGAGAGGGACAGGGAATAAATCAAGGCATCTGGAGATGTCGATTGACATTGCATTTTAATAGTTAGAGATTATAGCCATGAGGGAAGCAAGTAATAGGAAGGGAGTTCCACAAACGGGAAGTGAGAGACATGAAGCTATTGGTGTAGAAGAGACGGCTACATTTAACCGTATCGAGAGTGAAAGGGTGGGGGCGAGATACCAACCTAGTGGCACTATTAATTTCATGCAGTTTGGGAACTAGAGGAAATAGCTCGGAGCAGTTGAATGTATTTGTAGAAAAGACAGAGGGAGGCGACGGCACGTATGTGAGAGAATGACTGTAAACGAGATGCCAGATCAAGGCCAACCATGCTGCATATTCGTCTCTGCATTTTATTATTAAGGAAAGAGAAAGATGAATGAACAAATTATCAAAGCTTTATTTTTTAAAAATGAAAAATTAGCAACGCTTTATTTTTAAAAATAAAAATATCAACGCTTTATTTTTAAAAAACAAAAATTATCAACGCTTTATTTTTTAAAAATAAAAAATAAAAACACTTCATTTTTAAAAGCAAAAAAATTATCAACGCTTAATTTTAAAAAAAAAAAAAAATCAATGCTTTATTTTTTTTAATTAAAAAAATATCAACGCTATTTTTTTAAAAATAATTAAATGAATAAGCGCACGACGTGACGTGTGATAGACGATGAAGAGGAGGAGGAGTAGGAGATGAAATCAAGTGTGTTGGAAATGTATCGGCTAGGGATTAAATGAAATACTTTCTTTTCATCCCACTTCATATGAACTCAAAAAGAACTTTTTTAGTATGTATAGAACAGGTGATAATTTCCGATCTTTGATTCAAAAGGTCTTTTTGGTCTGGAAATGTTATTATAGCTAATTTTTTTTTTTTTTTTTGTTTTTTGACAAAGGTTGCAGATGTTGCTATGATCGTTGTATTGTCTTGCTTTTTCTTTAAAAAAATGTTCCAGTTTACAATCGGATCTTTTAATTTTCCCTCAATTTCCACACATAATTGGCTGGTTTAATGGAATTTCTAAGGCTTTCTAGCTTAAACTAGATTGTAAACTGGTAAGACAAATGTATGCAAGTAATATTTAAGAATTTTTTTTAATAACTAAATCTTGCTTAAATTGCGATATCATTGTTATTACCAAGAGATCGAACTCTGAAACCTGGCACTGCCAAAAGAAAACGCATCTGTTCAATAGATATTTCTAATTATTCATGTGATAGATTTATATGCATGGGTCTTCACAGCTTCCTTTACTGTTTAATATCTTGAAAATATGTGCTGACTGTTCTTTGGAAAAAGAATGGAATAGATTCAATTTGTTTTCTCGACGGCTCGGATATCAGAACTTTCCTTTTTCTTGATTGTTTGCAAAAGTCAAGAGCCTAGTCTACTTTTGGATTTAACCCATAGATAGGGTAAGAAGAGACGGATTTATTTTTCCTAGAGAGTATTATGGTGAAGTTAACACAATCTGCCCCAGTCGTAATTTGATTTAGGCCTGTACATGTTTTACTGTATTTAGTTGTGCCAAAATCGTAGCGAAAGCTACTCACTCACTTTTGCTTAAGTGGACTCGTCCTATGGTTGTTAAAGAACGAGCATATTTTTTCAGGAAAACAGGCTCAGGATAAATTAACAAAGCTTGAAAACTGCGCCTGACGAAACTGGAAATGTATTGTAACATATTTGATTTGATGTTGTGTATCTGAAAAAAAGCAAAAGCAAAAGCAAAAAAAAAACAACCATAAAACATTTTACAGTCATTCAAATTTTATTGTCAATTGCAGTCAGCGTAATGAGTCCTTCAAACGGACAACCATCGGTCGTCTAGCTCTTCAAATAGACGTGTAACTCTATTAAGGTCGAAATTCAAAATGGCGTAAGAGACCGATAATAAAGAAAAACTAACAAATCACTCACTGGGAGGAAGCGTATTCTAATTAAGAAATTATTAGCTTCGTCATATTCTTCCTGTAAGCAGTCCGCATGGGATAATTAAATTGTTTCGAAAATGTAATTGAAACAAACAAAGGCTGGAATTAGTTATTTCTGAAAACGCCATTACAAGGACGCCATTTTTTTTGCCTTGAAGTTATCCAGCACTGATAAAATTATACGCACGTCACTGTTCAAACTGTTAATTTAATTAAGTCAGAGCTTTTTAATCATTCATATACAATATCAAAGCTATCGATTTTGTGGGGTGGGGGTATTTTTATTATTGTTAGTGGTATACATATTACCAACTGTTGTTCGTGGAAAACGCGTAATTATAGATGAAATATAAAACTTCATAAATAACGACAGTTAAATAAAAATTATTCGTTTATTTTTATAATGTGCGTTATTTTATTTAAGCTAATTATGAAGTAGGTGGAAAACTTCCCAATGTATCATCTTGTAAAATCATATATATATATATATATATATATATATATATATATATATATATATCTTACTTATTATAAAACGCAGATTGTGTGTGTGTGTGTGTGTCTGTACGTTTATATATTGGATCGGATTTCCTACATTTTTCAACCGGTTTCAACGAAACTTCACAGGACTGCGTAAAATTACCTTGCGGTAGTTCTGACAGCGCCAAAAATTGGAAAAAACACAATTGTTTTTGCACGAAATCAATTTGAAAACACGATAAAACACGATTCTGTCGCTAGAATGAAAGGGGACAACTCATATCGAGTTATAGTTATTATAAAACCCAGGTTTGTGTGTGTGTGTGTGTGTGTGTGTGTGTGTGTGTGTGTGTGAGTGAGTGTTCGTTTATATATGGGATTGGATTTCCTACATTTTTCAACCGATTTCAACAAAACTTCACTTTTTTTTTGGCAGGTAGTGTTTGTTATTGTCTTGCACACTTTTTTCTTTATTTTTACATTCAGAATGCTTTAAAAATTCCATTTACAAGACAATTGTTTATAATAAAATTCTATTCAATCGATAGACTCATAACGATTGAAAACAATGTTTTTGTTTGAGTAATTCGTAAAAAAAAACAAAAAAAAACTAATTAATACTTGCGTGTCCGTCAACCTTAAACAATAATCTTTGTCAATTTTATTTTTTAGTCTTTATGATGGTCGATACTTGATCTATCTCTTACTGTTACATCCCCGGGCAACGCTGGGCTCTCCTGCTAGTATATATATATAATACTAGCTAAAATAAATGGCATTGCCCGGAACAAATTGATTTCTAACATAGTCTCTAAATAATATATTCTAGGAATATAAAAATTATCAAACATCCATGATAACATAGAAACGAAAATAACAAAGCATATCTTTAAATATTTGATTTTTACAAAACGATTTCTCTGTATACAATATTCTTTTTGTTTTCAGTTTGTAAATGTAAAGATTTCTTTTGCTTCCAGCTCTGGAGCATGGAATATGCAGTTAACCATGTACATTACAGTAATCTTCTAAGTGTAATCCTGCCATTGACAAGGTTTGGCTTTGTGACTTGTTTGTCGACATTGCAAAACTAAGTTTGCCTGGTTATTGCTGTCTCTTAAAATTGAACGGAAAATCTGTAGAGATCAAGGACATTCTTGTTACATAATCATCTTCTCCTCCCCGACAATAAATAAGTATTGTTGCTTCAATAACATGAGGCATCATTCTTTTCAGTATAGGTTTTGCGGTGTGGCAGACTTTTGGATGATCAAGATTGCATAGTAGCATTATTGGAGAGCCAATTTTCAGATATAGTTTATGTGGTGGCAATCCGGATAACTAAAGAGAATTAAGAAATTCTGTTGGATAATTGATTCTATCCAACTGGTTAATAAAAGTATCAACAGGTTTATAGGAGTGACAGTTTCCGGTGTTTAGTTTGGTTTATTTAGTTTTACGGCATATCAACCTCAATGGGTTATTTAATGCCGACAACATTTTTAGGATAGATTCGTATGAATAGAATATGTATTCTTTGGTTTAGATTGGTTTGGTTTATTTAGTTTTACGGCATATCAACCTCAATGGGTTATTTAATGCCGACAACATTTTTAGGATAGATTCGTATGAATAGAATATGTATTCTTTGGTTTAGATTGGTTTGGTTTATTTTCTTTTACGGCATATCAACCACAATGGGTTATTTAATGTCGACAACATTTTTTAGGATAGATTCGTATGAATAGAATATGTATTCTTTGGTTTAGATTGGTTTGGTTTATTTTCTTTTACGGCATATCAACCACAATGGGTTATTTAATGTCGACAACATTTTTTAGGATAGATTCGTATGAATAGAATATGTATTCTTTGGTTTAGATTGGTTTGGTTTATTTTCTTTTACGGCATATCAACCACAATGGGTTATTTAATTTCGACAACATTTTTAGGATAGATTCGTATGAATAGAATATGTATTCTTTGGTTTAGATTGGTTTGGTTTATTTTCTTTTTACGGCATATCAACCTCAGTGGGTTATTTAATGTCGACAACATTTTTTAGGATAGATTCGTATGAATAGAATATGTATTCTTTGGTTTAGATTGGTTTGGTTTATTTAGTTTTACGGCATATCAACCTCAATGGGTTATTTAATGCCGACAACATTTTTAGGATAGATTCGTATGAATAGAATATGTATTCTTTGGTTTAGATTGGTTTGGTTTATTTTCTTTTACGGCATATCAACCACAATGGGTTATTTAATGTCGACAACATTTTTAGGATAGATTCGTATGAATAGAATATGTATTCTTTGGTTTAGATTGGTTTGGTTTATTTTCTTTTACGGCATATCAACCACAATGGGTTATTTAATGTCGACAACATTTTAGGATAGATTCGTATGAATAGAATATGTATTCTTTGGTTTAGATTGGTTTGGTTTATTTTTTTACGGCATATCAACCTCAGTGGGTTATTTAATGCCGACAACATTTTTAGGATAGATTCGTATGAATAGAATATGTATTCTTTGGTTTAGATTGGTTTGGTTTATTTAGTTTTACGGCATATCAACCTCAATGGGTTATTTAATGCCGACAACATTTTTAGGATAGATTCGTATGAATAGAATATGTATTCTTTGGTTTAGATTGGTTTGGTTTATTTTCTTTTTACGGCATATCAACCACAATGGGTTATTTAATGTCGACAACATTTTTAGGATAGATTCGTATGAATAGAATATGTATTCTTTGGTTTAGATTGGTTTGGTTTATTTTCTTTTTACGGCATATCAACCACAATGGGTTATTTAATGTCGACAACATTTTTAGGATAGATTCGTATGAATAGAATATGTATTCTTTGGTTTAGATTGGTTTGGTTTATTTTTTTTTTACGGCATATCAACCTCAGTGGGTTATTTAATGCCGACAACATTTTTAGGATAGATTCGTATGAATAGAATATGTATTCTTTGGTTTACATTGGTTTGGTTTATTTAGTTTTACGGCATATCAACCTCAATGGGTTATTTAATGCCGACAACATTTTTAGGATAGATTCGTATGAATAGAATATGTATTCTTTGGTTTAGATTGGTTTGGTTTATTTTCTTTTTACGGCATATCAACCACAATGGGTTATTTAATGTCGACAACATTTTTAGGATAGATTCGTATGAATAGAATATGTATTCTTTGGTTTAGATTGGTTTGGTTTATTTTCTTTTACGGCATATCAACCACAATGGGTTATTTAATGTCGACAACATTTTTAGGATAGATTCGTATGAATAGAATATGTATTCTTTGGTTTAGATTGGTTTGGTTTATTTTCTTTTACGGCATATCAACCACAATGGGTTATTTAATTTCGACAACATTTTTAGGATAGATTCGTATGAATAGAATATGTATTCTTTGGTTTAGATTGGTTTGGTTTATTTTCTTTTACGGCATATCAACCTCAGTGGGTTATTTAATGTCGACAACATTTTTAGGATAGATTCGTATGAATAGAATATGTATTCTTTGGTTTAGATTGGTTTGGTTTATTTTCTTTTACGGCATATCAACCACAATGGGTTATTTAATGTCGACAACATTTTTAGGATAGATTCGTATGAATAGAATATGTATTCTTTGGTTTAAATTGGTTTGGTTTATTTTCTTTTACGGCATATCAACCACAATGGGTTATTTAATTTCGACAACATTTTTAGGATAGATTCGTATGAATAGAATATGTATTCTTTGGTTTAGATTGGTTTGGTTTATTTTCTTTTACGGCATATCAACTTCAGTGGGTTATTTAATGTCGACGACATTTTTATGATAGATTCGTATGAATAGAATTTGTATTCTTTGGTTTAGATTGGTTTGGTTTATTTTCTTTTACGGCATATCAACCGCAGTGGGTTATTTAATGTCGACAACATTTTTAGGATAGATTCGTATGAATAGAATATATATTCTTTGGTTTAGATTGGTTTGGTTTATTTTCTTTTACGGCATATCAACCACAATGGGTTATTTAATGTCGACAACATTTTTAGGATAGATTCGTATGAATAGAATATGTATTCTTTGGTTTAGATTGGTTTGCTTTATTTTCTTTTACGGCATATCAACCACAATGGGTTATTTAATGTCGACAACATTTTTTATTGCTGGTAGTATTTTGTTTTGTCAACAATCTGTTTCTGGTAATATTTTTCTTTCAAAATTGTATTGCTGGTAATAATTTTTTTCAAAAAAGTATTGCTGGTAATAGTTAACTATTTGCGCATAGCTGGGACCCTAACAGGTACTACCACCCCGGGTCAGGGTGGACTTGGGAACACCAGCAATTAAGAGGTGGTTCCACCCACCTCAAAACCTCCTGATCAGAGGCCTTGCAGCTGGATGTAGTTTATCGTCTTATCCAGGATTCGGATGTAGTTTAACGATTTACCCAGGATGGACAGTTTACGGGGATCATATTAAAAATTTCAAAATTAATTGTATTGACTGTGGTAATTTTTGGTATTAGAATCGCTCTATCAAACAACCATTTATCATTTTGATAGTGGGCATTGATTTTTGGAAAGACTTTGGATATTAACTCCAAAGTTGATGGTGCTAATGAACATATGGGTGATGGATCAATGAAACTTTCACAGATTGTACTTTCCCCTCCCAGAGTAAGCAATTTTTTAGGAAATTGAGTTGCTGTTATATTTCCATACAGGTATTCTCTCATAATAATTATCAATTTTAGGATCTTTTCATGACTCCGTAACGTATATGATTTCAATGAACCTCAGATTTCATCTGCTCTAGTACCTTTTTCCTTGACAAGGAGGATTTATCTGAAGTCACCAGAGAGAATCACAGGTATTCTATCCATCGAAGAATCATTGTTCCTAATATCCCATGGCTGTCCAATGCTTCAAAATCTATCTTATGGTTCATAGTACATTCATCCCAAACAATCAAGTAACACCTGATAATTTGTGCTGATCCAGAATCCTTTGGTATATTGCTCATACGGGTTTTTATTCCTGTTCATGTCCTGTGGAAGTTTCAATGATGAATTAGCTGCCCTAACCCAGGTAATAATGTAGCAGAAATCCCTAAGGAAATAAATGGAAGTGCAATAAGTTTTTTGACTCCTTACCTTGGCTAGTAATATATGAGATCTCCGGCAGATCTCTCTCTCTCTCTCTCTCTCTCTCTCTCTCTATATATATATATATATATATATATATATATATATATATATATTTCTGCCGGAGATCTCATATATTTTTTCTAATAAGTTAAGCTCTTGCCAAACACGTTGTAGCATGTCTCCGCTAACATTATCCAGTGCTGAAGTGATTCTCTGCTTGAGTTCATCAATGCTAGCAGAATGAGTGGGGACATAGACAACTCTGTTCACATATCCTCAGAAGAAGAAATCACACGTGGACAGGTCCGGTGATCGCGGCGGCCATTTCATCATAAAACTGTCTTCATCTCCACTACGCTCGATCCATTTCTCTAGCAGATTCTCAGTGAGGTAACAAATATAAAACATTAAATATAAAATCTTGATCTGTTTCTATACATTCTGTGAAAATTCGAGGTTATTTCACTGGGACACTGTACATTCATATCAAAAACCTCATTCAATGATCTTTTAACTTGAGTGGCTCTCGTGTCTCGTATTTTATGATATGTTTGTATTAAAAAAAAACTTGCTTTTGAGATTTCGTTTTCCGAACCGACAAATGAGTTTTATCCGGAGCTTACTTGAAAAAGACGGAGTGACCAGCTATTTACATAGAAGCCATGTCATTTACATAAGCAGCGAGGTCGTTATGGGAAAATGGTTTGGCCAAATACTTATTAATACCTTTAATCTAAAAGCACTTGGTGAAATCTGAACAAACAAGAGACATGATTATTATTTTCTCTTGCTGTCAACTTTACCTTGTTTGATTCTTGGAAATGTGTTCAATATTTCATAGATAAGTGTCCGGCAAACATCCTTTATGAAATCGGATGAAATATATAGAGGTGAACGTGTGCGCATGCGTGTTGATCTCGATTGCAAAATGTATGTGACATCTCAAATATAAAACAAAATGCGTATATATAAAATGCCTTGGATTTCTTATGACTTTTCTATAAATATTCTCATGGCAACTATTCTGATGAACTTACTTCTATGGTACCTAGAATTTATAAATTTAATCACAGTACTAGATTAGCTGATAGCAAACATCGGTAAGGTCGTCCTGGGTATGGCGATAAACTAGATCCGCGTGCTGGATAAGGCAATAAACTATGTCCAACAGCAAGACCTCGGATCAGGAGGTTTTGAGGAGCGTGGAACCACCTCTTAATTGCTGGTGTTTCCAGTTCCACTCTGACCCGGGGTGGTAGCACCTGTTAGGGTCCCAGCTATGAGCAAATATTTAACAACCAGGCTTGTTTAAAAAAGGTTTTAATACCAGAAATAATTTGTAATAAAAAAAATATTACTAGCAATAAATTTTGAAGGAAAAATTATTATCAGCAGTACCTTAAAAAATACCAGTAATACAAACAGCTATACATTTTTAAGAAGTTGGATTGTACTAAAAAAAATGAATAATTGAAAAATGGTTCTAATATATATGTATATATTCACACCTTTTTTTCCATACTATCGCTATGAATTTATTTCAAAAATTTTGTTGGCATTAAATGACCCACTGAGGTTTTGATATGCCATTAAACAAAACAACCAAACATCGGTCAGGAAACTAAAACCAGCCTGGATATGCAAATAAACTTATTAGAAAAAAATCTGAGATCTCCGGCAGAATATATATATATATATATATATATATATATATATATATATATATATATATATATATAGTCGACTCTTCCGTCGAATTCGACGTATGAGGGTCAAGCAGATCAGTTCCCAGGAAACAGCCCGACAACAGCACATGAGATTTGATTCTAGTGGTGAAGGTTTCGTGCAGGACCATCCACACTTTTTGAAGGGCCGAACACAGAAACCTGGTGCACGACGTGCCACAAGGTCCCCAAACGACCCTCCGCAGGTTTTGAATTCAGAGTTGTGCTTCTATATATATATATATATATATATATATATATATATATATATATATATATATATATATTGACTTCTTACCTTGGTCACTAAGGTGATAACAAATGTTTTTTTTCTGTTCCACCAGGTGTATCTAGGAAGAATATTTCACCTTTCTGGTATCTAACAATATCTATAGTTGTGTCATACGCTATTTTCTGGTCATGTAGAAGATTTGTCTAATTAACTTCTATACAGCTTACAAATGAAATTATATCATATGCAGTTTCTATGACCACTTTTCTTATTAACTCATTCTCAATTTCTCTTGCTGTCTTTCGAAGGCTGTCTTTCATCAGTTCCTCCCAATGGCTAGGATTCTATTCTGAATGTCAATCAATATTTTAATCGACAGTTCCCTAGTGTTAGAGACCTCAATATCTGGTAACTGCACTTGTAATTAGTGTTTGTAATATTCAGCTGGTTTTGTTGGTGTTTATCCCAAAGTCCTAACAGATCACTGATTTCACGACATTTAATGAGGATAGAACAAAGAGCTCTAAGTCTTCTTGTACACTGAGATGCAATTTCTTCAGTTAAAGAAGCATCCCATTGTGCATGATCTTCCAACAGACCCCGTTTCAAGCAAGCTTCTCTTTATGTTGAGCATACTGTTCCATCGACCGGACGGATATCTTCATATGAAGTAGGATATTTGACATCATGCAATAGCATCCTGAGGAAGAAATATTCTTGTTGTTTGAGGTTTACAGTATACAGTTTTCTAAGTGCAATCTCAAATTTGATGTAAAAAAATTCATCTACTGGTTCAACTCCTTTTTGTCCGTTCTAGCTGCCATGTTGCCAAGTGTTATATAATCGAAGCTGAAGATTAAAAACAAATTGTCTTATCAAAGGGATCTCTTGCACAAAGTTTGAAGAGACCTGTAAATGTAGTCTTGGAGTTAGGATTTGCTGTTCTGCGTTTTCCTTAGAGAAGTGAATTTGTTGCCCATTTTATAAATGAATATCAAGTGGCTGAACTCTTGGATATCGCTCATCAATGTGAACTCTAATTATCCTTCAAGTTACTTCCTTTTTGCTAATGTATTGAACTTCATGATAGATGCTTACTTCATCTATTCGGTTTAATGTTTGGTTTTGCGTATTTTCGCTCGAATTCTTTGATTCTTGTAAAGTAAAATTGCTACATTTGACTCTTTGTTAACATATTTGCAGACATATTTAATTGCCTTTACTGAGTTACAGAACTCAACATTCATATGAACCTCAAAGGTTTTCAAGAGTAGGAGGAATGTAAGTAACTCTCCATCTGTATCTGTCTATATTTCTGAGATGAGTGTGAGTTCAATACCCGGTTCAATACCCGGTTAAGACAGTGGAGAACTTGGAGAGGGGAATTAACATGAGATATCAGATCACTGACATCCATTAAACATGGCACGTAGAACTAGAACAGCCTACCCCAGTGAGCGAATAAAGGGTTCAGTTCGAGATTCCAACCACCGGAAGAAGGCCGGAGCGTACAACGGCCGAAATGTTGTAATAAATATGGCGACAAAGATGAGGGCAATAGTCCAAATAGTGTAAATAGTCATCTGCTGTAAATTACAATTGGATTTTGTTCTCATTCAATTACTGCCTCATATCCGCCATCATATGGCTTTCTTTTTCTATAAGAAGGATAACCATCTTAACCCATTTGTGTTTCTTTTAAGAAACTTCCTGGATAATTCTTGGTGCACTGGTTACGAACCATACAACGATTATATCTGTTCTTATCTCTACAGGGACCATGGATCATTTGAGTTTTAACAATATCATAAAGCTTTTATCTTTTTTAGGATTTGGCAGTCCTGCCGATATTATATAATCCACCTGACTGGTGTAAATTTTCACCATGAACCATATCAAAATGTGGACATAAGGAAGACCCCGTTTTTGCCACTCAAAGTTAGACATGGAGAAACTTACATTTCCGAAAATTTTCACTGTTGTAATCATTTCCATTAATTTAATCACTTTTAACCTGAAAGCTCTTGCTAATAGGTCATGTTTGTTCTGTGGCTTTTGTCTAGGGAGAAGTTCAACATTAATTTCTTTTCAATTGGGATTACAGGTGAATGTTATTAACAAATTTTTACATCTATAATGTCTAATGCGTTTCATTGTTCTTGAGAACTTTCATGCATACATCATGGACTGCCAACAAAACTTGACGGAAGAATCACTGGTTGACCAATTTCACCTATGACAACAACATTGTTAGTGCCATCTTGTAGATATTTGGTGAGGCTCTTAAATTTGATTGGTGAGACTTGATGTATGCTTCCTCCCTCCATCTTCGCATTCATATCTACAAAATAATGGTGGAACAGGTTTGGGGCTCTGAGAAGGGGTATTAAAAATTTTTCACAGATCATAAGGAAGAGAGCATAAAATACCAGGCTTTAAAAAGTCTTATTTGAGTTCCCTCCAACTTGAAGAATTCCAAAATGATAACCATTTTCACTGTTGACAAAAAAACAAAAACAGGGCTGGAGTATCGTAAAGCATCATATAAAAGAGGAGTCTAATGTATTCTTTTTATCTTATCGCAAACTTAAAGAACAATATCCCATTTTCCAAACACTTCTCCTGTGATGCTTGTAGCTACTTCATTAAACTGAGGTGGATTGAAACATCGAGAACGCTCACTTGAGGGCCTTGTGTCAGCATCTATAACAATCTTGCATCCAAAAGGATGGTGACAGTTCTAACGGTAAATTTAAAGGGTTATTTAATGCCAACATTTTTTTATATAATATATATATATATATATATATATATATATATATATATATAGATAGATAGATAGATAGATAGATATCAATAACAAATATATTCTTTGTAACAAAATCACTTTGTAAATCAAGTGTTGGTTTGGTTTGCTTTGGTTTAGGGTATATCAGCCTCAATCGGTTATTTAATGACGACAATATTTTTATTGCTGCTAATAATGTTTTCCAAAATGTGTTGTTGCTAATATTTTTTTTTTCAAAACTCTATTGCTGGCAATATTTTTTCTTCAAAAATATACTTCTAGTAATATTTTTCTTCAAGAATGTATTGCTGGTAATATTTTATTTCCTTCAAAAATGTATTGCTGGTAATTTTTTCTTCAAAAATTTAGTGTTGGTAATAATTTTTTACAAGAATGTATAGCTGGTATTAAAACCTATTTTTATATTTTAATACTGTTCTGACCTCTGTTTAGGGGTTAACTATTAGCTCATAGCCGGGAACATAAGAGGTGCTACCACTCCGGGTCATGGTGGATCTGGGAACACCAGCAATTAAGAAGTGGTTCTAGGCTCCTTAAAACCTCCTGATCAAAGGACTTGCGGTTGGATGTAGTTTATTGTCTTACCCAAGACGTAACTCTAGTTGCATCAACTCTTTTTTAAGCCTGCTGTACCGAATCAGACACCAAATCAAATTGAAGAAATTGAGTCTCTTCTTATGGCAGTGGCAATAAAGATCCAATGCAGAGATACACTTGCCCTTGGAATTTAAATGTAGGCCTAAACCCTCTCATCAATAATCTTAGCAACAAATGAAGTAATCTAGAATACACTATTATAGTCCTGAATGTTTTTAAAAAAGGTCCTTTGAATCCTTAACAGCACCAGTGAAAAATTCCCTCAGTGGAGGATCTTGCAGAAGCTTCAACTTGACCTTAGCACATGTGCAGCACATAACAGGAGGTTTGTTTTCCCACGTTTTTGCTCCACATTACGTACAAAGATTTGTCATTGCACCAGCAGGCACTTTGGCATGAGATGCATAAGTAGTCATTGGATTATAATTCATAATGGCAAACTGCCATTGGAAAAATTGTTTGTTACGTGATTGGTAAATTCATGACCTGTCAAGAGAAAATCTTTCAGATCTTTGCACTTCAATTTAATTTTGTCTTCCTTGTTGAATTCTTACCCTCATCTCTTCCAGTCTGTGAGACCTCTGTACTTCAGATTAATTTTGTCTTCCTTGTTGAATTCTTACCCTCATCTCTTCCAGTCTGTGAGACCTCTGTACTTCAGATTAATTTTGTCTTCCTTGTTGAATTCTTACCCTCATCTCTTCCAGTCTGTGAGACCTCTGTACTTCAGATTAATTTTGTCTTCCTTGTTGAATTCTTACCCTCATCTCTTCCAGTCTGTGAGACCTCTGTACTTCAGATTAATTTTGTCTTCCTTGTTGAATTCTTACCTCATCTCTTCCAGTCTGTGAGACCTCTGTACTTCAGATTAATTTTGTCTTCCTTGTTGAATTCTTACCCTCATCTCTTCCAGTCTGTGAGACCTCTGTACTTCAGATTAATTTTGTCTACCTTGTTGAATTCTTACCCTCCTTTGTTCTAGTTTGTGAGATCTTTCCTCTTCAGTTTCATTTTGTCTTTCTTGTTCAATTCTTACCATTATCTGTTCCAACTTGTGAAATCTTCGAAACTCAGGTTCATTTTTATATGTCTTCAAATTCTTATTCTTCTTTCTTCAAGCTATCCATCTCTTTCTCTCTGATCTTGACTTTGATTTTGTCTTATCAATTCTTCAATTCTTGTTTTGTTACCTTGGAGCCTCAGTTGCCTTTGTTCTTCTGTTTCAACTAATCTCTGCTTTTCTTCCAAGAGAGGAATTTTCTTGCGTGGCATATTAACTCAACTTGGGATTAAAATGTATACATATTGTCAATGAAGAAATAAATTGAATAACATATATATTTCTTCTTTTCTCCTCAGTAATTTTACAATAGCGATTAAATTTTGATTTTGAAATTAGCAGTTTTTAATTTTAATATTAAATTTTATCATATAATTTAGTAATTATTGGTTAGAATAAATTTTTTTTTAATATTACCCATATTTTAAAGATCTGAATAGCTATTATAACATGACTTCGTTGTCAAGCTTTTTGAATTTTCCTATACTTGTATTTTGATTGGTCAATCTAGCTTTTGTAACAACGTTTTCCCCTTGCAAAGGATTGTTAATTAATTTGAAACTTTTAAAACCATTTATTTTACATTCAACATCATCACTTGATAAGACACCGAGGGTGTTGAAACAAAATGGCTACTTTTGTAGTGATTTTATAACATATTTATGTTATAATTTTTCTAAATAAATAGTTATATATATATATATATATATGTGTGTGTGTGTGTGTGTGTGTGTGTGTGTGTGTGTGTGTGTGTGTGAGTGTGGGTGTGTGTCATGGGTCCTTACCTATAACTACAGAATGAACTCTTCCTAACACTATTTATACTACGCCTCTCAAGTGAGAGGGACGAATCGAGTCGACCTTCTCGGCTTGACGGTCGAACTCTCTGCCTCTGAGCAGAGAGGAACCCGGACGACGCTCCGCCGAAGGGCAGAGTCTCGTTCGGGGAGGTTGACCAACCCGATCCCGTTTATACGGGTTCTACGGGCATTTTTTGGCCGAGCCACGTTAAACTCGGCCTTGGGCCACATGCAACCCTCGTGGGGGTGGCTAGATACCGAATCGAGCCGATAGTAGTTCACTCCAAACCAGACTGACAGTCATACTAACACCTTACACATCTTGTATTATTATTTTGTGTAAAATACCTTCGTTATTTCTACTCTTGTGTTCGTGTTGTTCTTCCTTGGTCCTAACCTGGATCATAACAGTGTGTGTGTACGTATAGTTTGCCTTTTTCCTTCAAAGCTATGATCCACCATGCAACTTATTTGGAATTAAACCACCCCCATTCCCTCTGTATTCCATTGGTGAGAAGTAAATTCCACTTGAACAGCTACTTCCCATGAGCCACTACCCTGTGGAACAGACTCTCAAGAGGATGTTTCACAGATCACTACATTCTTAACCTGTTCAGGTCTAGAGTTAAATGTTTATCTTCCCCTCCTGTTCATATAAATTACCCTTTAATGTAACCCTCTACCTTGAGTGGCCTCCAGGCCTTGTGAAGCGTGAACCTTATATATAAAAAAAATAGGTTCTTGCCTTGTATCTTGCCATATAAGTGGACCAATATTACCTAAGAGTTCAGCCTTCTTTTCTTTATTTCTAATGAAATTTTCCTATTTCTTCTGAAACTGCTAAAACGCTGTGTAGATATTTAAATCTTGATACTCTCTTTATTTTAATGTCTCCAATATGTCGTTCACATCTTAGGCTGTTTTGTTTTTCGCTGACAACCATACATTCTGTATTTTTATCCTTGTCATTTAGTTTTTTCATCTCGCTTCACTGTTTTTCGTAGGAGTTCCTGCTGTTTCTTTTCTGCGTCAGCTATCAACACTGTGTCATCTGCATATCATATATTGTTAAGATTATGTCCACCAAAAATAAATCCTGAGAAGCCATCTAATTCTCTCAGGATTACCTCACTTTATAAGTTGAATAAGCCTGGTGAGAAGACGCATCCTTGTCATGTAAGACAAGGAGGTTTCTTCTTACCGGTCTTTCTATTTTTGTATATTTACTGGTTCTGGATTATTCTATTTTAGTGGTTTAGGAATAAGTTCCACTTAAACAGCTTCTTCACACAAACTACTACCCTGTGGAATAGACTCCCAAGAGGATGCTTTCCCTGATCACTACAATCTTAACCTGTTTAGGCCTAGGGTTAAATATTATCCTCTCCTCCTATTCATACAAACTCTCACCTAACATAACCCTCTACCATGAGTACCCTCCTACCCCGGCCATGTAGGGTGTGAACTTTATTGTAAAAAATAAAAATAAAAAAATAAATAAAAAAGACTATTTAAAATGTAACTTGCCATATAAGAGGACCAATTTACCTAACAGTTCAACACTGTTTTCTTTATTTTATAGCGAATAAATCGGCGACTTACTTCGTCAAACCAAGCGAGAGCATGTCGCGTGTATCCTATGACGGAAAATGTGGCGAAAAAGAAAATTACTTACCAAACAAAAGGGCACGTATTCCATATGACATGCTGAAGATGGATTATTTAGATTAAAAACAAGTTCGCAGCAGGAGTCTCTATAAAAGTATTTTGATATGCAAAAATTGGGCGTCCTCTCTCAGTTATCGACGAAAAGAAAAAAATGATCGGCCGATAAAATAGTTGGTGTTCTGAATCGGGGACGAAAATTTGTGTATTTTGGCTACCGCGTCTCTCGGAGAGTGAGTTATTTTACGTGCATTGGGATTTGTGAGATAGTACCTGCGAATCGAGTTTTCGGCATTTCTTTCTGCCCCCGATGTTCGAGTCTGAACTTACAGTAATTTATTCTCATCGTTGTGGAAGTAATCTGTGACAAATATTTCCTTTGCAATCCCAGAACGCCTACCTAACAGATCAGCAATCTCTTCTTTATTTCTAATAAAACTTTTCTATTTCTTCAGAAACTGCCAAATCACTGCGTAGATATTTAAATCTTTATACTATCTTGAATTTGATGTCTCTAATTTGTCGTTTGTATCTTCGGCTGTTTCCCCGCTGACAACCTTACATTCTGTATTTTCATCTTTGACATTTTCATCCCACTTTCCTTCACTGCTTTCTGAAGGAGTTCCTGCAGTTTCTTTTAATTCTAATTCTCTCAGGATTACCTCCCTTTATAGCTTGAATAAGTCCGGTGAGAAGACATATCCTTGTCTTACACACCTTTTAGTTTTTTGTTTTTTTAATGATGTCATTTTCTATTCGTATGTGGTTGGTTTGTTCCCAGTTTAAATTCTGGATGATTTGAATATTATTCCCAGATAAATCAAGCTTATCTATCAGTTGAAATAGTTGTTTGTGTTGTACGTTATCAAATATGCAGGATTTGTGTGTGTGTGTGTGTGTGTGTGTGTGTGTGTGTGTGTGTGTGTGTGTGTGTGTGTAACGAAAGCACGGTCGCAATTTTCGACGGATTTGTACCAAAATTTACATGCACATGCTCCAAGTGAGCGGAAGGCCAAAACTGACTTTGCATTTCCCAACTCCCATCGATAGTGGAAATAATCAATTTTTTCATGCTTCTACGGCAGTTTTCCTGTAGTTTGCCGCCATTTTCTACTGGCCAGAGTGAGAGCCTATAGCTGGCTGCCATAAATAGGCAGGAAGATTCTATTGGCCAGCGTGAGAGCCAACAACTAACTGACACGAATGTTGACTAGCATGCAAAAAAAAAAAAATCGATAGCTGCATTCGTCACAAGTGGGAAAAATTTAAATCTGCATGTCACTTTACTCCAATTGGCTCATTCGCTTGCTTAAACTCAACGTTGATTCTGATTCTGGGTTGGGTGTGAAAAAGTATTTGTAGTTAACATTCGTTTTTCATTCGGTTTTTCCAGTTACGAGTCGTTTTTTTAAAGCTGATCGTTTTGTGTTCATTTTGTTTAGTTCTTTTTTCATAACAGATTTAATATTTAGCACAGAGCTTAGAAAAAACTGGCAAGGAGTAAGACATGTAGCAACATCAGCACGGCAAAGGGCACTCCTTTAAAGGCAAGGAAGGGCAAAAATATTTTAAGTCAAATGATAGCGATTGCTGTATGAGTTGTACGATTTTTGAATCAAGCACGGGCAGCGCCGGGGCATGCTGCTAGTAATCTATAAAACATAGGTAATATTATTCGCAGATAAATCAATATTTTGTGACAACCCAAAGCTATAGAGCCCTCAGTATTCTGTTTGGTTTGATGTTTTAATCTGGGCGGTTTCTACACATTTTTTTTCGGTCAGTGACACCCCAAGCATGGCATTACAGCCACTAACACGTAAAGGGTTACAAGGTGTGGAGGAGTTAGGGACAGAACCATTAGTAATGAGTAGAAAGAGAAAAGAGCATTCAGAAGGACAGGACGATAGCGATTGACATTGCATTTAAATTCTTGCAGATTAAAGAAAGGAAAGAAGTTCCACAAGCGAGAAGTGTGCAAAAAGAAACAGTTAGCATATAAGTTACGGCTACATTGATCTATCTCACCTGTAAACTGATGCGATCTTTCCACCTGTCTAATATTTCGCTTAATTTCATACAGTCCAGGTACCATAGCAAAAAGCTCATCCAATCAGTTACCATGAAAGTATTTAGAGAAAAGACAGAGAGAGGCAACCTTATGGTGGTGGGCAAGTGACTGAAGCTGATCTGCCAGATTAGGACCAATAATATTGCTGATGATTCTTTGGATTTTATCAGGGAGTTCAAGGTAAATCGCAGGGGCTCCAGATCATATGTGGCAGCAATATTATAAGCATGGATGAATGGTTGACTTATAGATACGTAAGATAGATTCAGGTGAGAAGAATTGTCTTACCTGACACAATGAACTGACTTTTTTAGCAGATGTCTTAGCAATGGATTCGATATAGTCTTTCCATTTCATGTCAGCTGAGGTTATCAGTCCGAGAAGGTACAATGAGTCACTGGAGGGTAATATCAGCCATGACGAGTATAGAGGAGTTTAGTTTTGGAGGTGTTAGAATTGACAGGCCATCTTTTTCCCCAGTTAACGATGGTCTCGAGGTCGTTTTGTACATCAGCTGACATTTTGACCTTGTCGGACTGAACAGCCTTTGTGTCAAACAGGAGTTAATGGTAATGTCTTCAGCGTAGATGCCAAGTTGAGAACCGATGTCATCTTGAAGGTCATTACTTTGAGGCCATTCTAAGTGCCTTAACAACAACATCGTCATTGTTTATACATTTTTCTCTCTGCTTATTGTACTTTTTTTAATGGTTCCCCTTTTTCCTCTTTCTATTTTTTCTTTCTTCAGTTTCCTCCTCCTCTTTCTTCCTCATCTTTATCATCTTTATTCTCTTCATATTCAATTTAATTTTATGGTTCGACCTCCTCTTTAATGTTTTCTTTGTTTTCTTCTTTTCTTTAGCTTTCCGTTTTTCTTTTTTCTTTGTTTTTCTCTTTCTATTTATTGTCATTTTCTTTTCTGTTTTTATTCTACTTTCTTTCAGAGTCCTTCTCTCATTTGTTGTTGTTGTTCTTCTTCTTCGTCTTTTCTCTTTCTTCTTCATCTTTTTCTTGGTTTTCCTTTTCTTCCTTTTCTTCTTTTTCTTCTTTTTCTTTTTCTTCATCTTTCTCCTTCTTTTTCTTCTTCTTTTTTCTTTTTATTGTTCTTTTTCTTTTCTTCTTTGTTTCTTTATCTTCTTTTTCTTCTTTTTCTTCTTCTTTTTCTTCTTCTTCATCTTTTTCTCAACCTTTTCTTAAATTCTTCTTCTTTTTCTTTTTCATCTTGCTTCTTCTTCTTTTCTTGTTCTTTTTCATATTCTTTTCTTCTTCTTTTTTCCTTTATCTTCTTTTTCTTTTATTTTTGCTCCTTTTTTCTTCATCTTTTTCTTCTTCTATATTTCCTTCTTTTTATTCTTCTATTTCTTTTCTTTTTTCTTTTTCTTCTTCTTTTTCTTTATCTTCTTCATCTTTTTCTCAACCTTTTCTTAATTTCTTCTTCTTTTTCTTTTTCATCTTGCTTCTTCTTCTTTTCTTGTTCTTTTTCTTGTTCTTTTCTTCTTTCTTCTTCTTTTTTCCTTTATCTTCTTTTTCTTTTATTTTTGCTCCTTTTTTCTTCATCTTTTTCTTCTTCTATATTTCCTTCTTTTTATTCTTCTATTTCTTTTCTTTTTTCTTTTTCTTCTTCTTTTTCTTTATCTTCTTTTTCTTTATATTCTTTTTTCTTCTTTCTTCTTCTTCATCTTTGTCGTTTTTCTTTAAGAATACCATAATTACTTCACAAAAATTAAATTCCCTGGTACATGCAAATGAAACCCTTTTGAATCCAATTAAAAGAGAGTTTTCTTAAGAATTACGTAGTGACTTCTGATTTCCTAATAATTTGTATTCACGTATCATATGAATATTTTTCATCCATTTCTTCTCAATTCCCAGAAACTTAAGAATTCGTCCCATTTTGTCCTGACATCTACTGTGAAGTGATAAATATTTCGGAATGGCAATAATCCCATTCAATACAACATGGATCTCAATAGTTATCCTGACATAACTCCTTGATCCAATGGATCACGGTGAGATTCAAGCTAACAAGAAACTGCAACATTCTCTATATGCCGTGTCCTTTTAGGACGTGGGTAATAATAGCTCTCCACTACTTTCTATGTTTTGTAGCTCTAATTAAAATTGTTTATTTTTTGCTCTCTTAATCTTTGTTCTGCCAACCATTTACACAAGTTCGTTAGGTACGTTAAACATTACTTTCCTCTGTCCCTCTGGCCTTCAATATGTGCCATATGTTATAAACTCCCTCTAGCTAGATGACTAATATTAACATGATGAATGATATGAATGAAACAGTGATTCGTTTTTTACGGTTTATCAACACTTTGCAGATTATTTAAAGCCAGAAAATATTTTTAGTTTTTAAGAATTTCTTTAGATAATAATGTTTTAGTCATAAAAGTGTTACTAATTAATCCATAGCTGGGGAGAGAGGTGGATTCATACTTTTTTAAGGGTTTTTACAAATAAATGAATATAACGAATCCAACTGGAATTAGAACTCAGGTCTCCAATTAACAATTTCGAGCCATTATTCATTACATCACCCGCATATCCAAGTTTACAACACCTGGTATTCGGAAGCGGTCATTGGGCTTTGTAGCTCTTAGTAATGTATTTTTTTTTTCAGTTTCTCCTAATCCCAGTCCTGCTAACCATTTACACTGGCTCATTAGGTGAGTTATGCTCTTTTTACCTTTGTACCTCATGTCTTCAATATATTCAGTGGGTGGTGATAGTCGAATTTGTTAACTAAAAAGCTTATATTTACCAGAAAATTTATTGTTCTTACTTTTTTTCTCTTCTTCTTCCATTTTTCTCTTTTCTTTTTTCTTCCTTTTCCTTTTTCTCTTTTTCTTCCTTTTCTCTTCTTCTTCTTCCTTTTTCTCTTTTCTTTTTTCTTCCTTTTCCTTTTTCTCTTTTTTCTTTTCTCTTCTTCTTCTTCTTCCTTTTTCTCTTTCCCTCCTTCTTTTTTCTCTTATTCCTTATCCTCTCCTTCTTCTCCCTTTTTCTTTTCTTCTTCCTTTTTCTTTTCTTCTTCCTTTTTCTCTCCTTCTTCCTCCTTTTTTCTCTTCTCTTTCTTCTATTCTTCTCCCTTTTTTTCTTCTGTGTTTTCCTTTTATCTTCTTTTTCCTTTATCTCTTCTTTCTTTCTTTTCTCGTCTTCATTTTTCTCTTCTTCTTCCTTTTTTACTTCCTCTTCTTCGTTTTCTTTTTTCTCTTTTCTCTCCTTTTCTCTTCGTCTTCTTTTTTCTCTTTTTCTTCTCCCCTTTTCTCCTCTTCTTCCTTTTTCACTTCTTCTTTTTCTTTCCCTTCCTCTTCTTTTTCTCCCCTTTTTCTTCTTCTTTTTCCTCTTCTTCTTCCTTTTTCTCTCTCTTCTTCTTCTTCTCCCCTTTTCTCTCCTTCCTTTTTTCTCTTCTTCCTGTTTTCTCTTCTCTCCTTTTCTCTTCTGTGTCTTCCATTTATCTTCTCCCTTTTTCTCCTCTTCTTCCTCTTCCTCTTTTTATTCCTTCTCCTCTTCTTCTTCTTCCTCTTTTTATTCCTTCTCCTCCGCCTACTCCTTTTCTTTCCGTATTGTATATATACATCATCTATCCTTTCTTAATTTTTCTTAATTAAAAAAAAGAGACTAAACGAGTTATTTCTCTGTTTAAATACATTTTCTAATTAGTCGTATTATTAGTTGTTTTAACTCGACTTACTTATATATCTTTCGATTCCCTTATATTTTTCATCGTCTTCTGCTTCTTCATCTTATTACTTGTTCAATCTGTTTAAAGAAAGAAATAAAAAACAAACACTTGTGTAGCAGGTTCCATAGCTTTGTCCTCGTCATCAGCAAAAATTGTTTCACGCAAATAATTTAACAACATTTCCAGAGAATTCTCTACGTTGGCCTTGCTTGTGCACATTTGCATAAACGTGATCACGCCCCCAGCTTACACTCTTTACAGCCATCCACGACATGCTCAACAAATATTTACCCACCATTCTTGCTATTTCTTTCCATGCAGAATTGTTTTCTGTGCGGACCTGTCAAACGCCGATTTTTCTGGAAGTAGAAGTTTGTGATAACAACACCGAATATAATAGGAAAATAGGAAAAGGAAATTAAAGAAAAGAAATAAAAGAAAAAAGACCCCCCGAAAAATTCTTATGTTCCCAGCAGAATGCGTCTGTTTTTATTTTGGAAAACTAAGCCAATTTAAAAATGAATTATTTTTTGAATCCATTACAATGAAAAGGAGCAAATGGAACGCAAAACTTTCTTTAAGCTGAATGTTTTCATCACCTTCACAGGGTGAGCGCAAAATCCTCGGGCAAAATTTGTGATTTCCAATTATTATGGATTGTTTACTGTTTCTATATCAAGAGATGACTGACTGCCGACTTTACAATTTAGCAGAAATTCACGAGAAATAATTCATTAGAAAGTTTCAATGAGAAGCTTTAGAAAATTAGTGTTTTTCAAACTGCATTATCTCAATTATAAATACTAGTGTCTCTTTCATTTCAAGTCCATAATTCTCCTTATTTGATACTAGAGGTACATTTACACAAGATTGTTAGGTACGTTAAACATGGCTTTTCCCTGTTACTTTTGCCATCAAATATACCATAGGTTATAAATTCAAAAGCTCTTTCAAGCTAGATAACTAATATTAAAATAATGATTGACATGAATGAAATATTGATTCGTATTTTTACGGTTTATCAACACTGCAGGTTATTTAAAGCCAGAAAAGATTTTTAGGTTTTAAGAATTTTTTTTTAGATAATAATGTTTTAGTCATAAAAGTGTTACTAATTAATCCATAGCTGGGGGAAATTCATACTTTCTTAAGGGTTTTTGTGCATAAGTGCATAAGTGAATATAAACCAGCAAAGGGAACGGAAAACTTTCTTTAAGCTGAATGATTTCATCGCCTTCACAGGGTGAGCACAAAACCCTTGGGAAAAATTTGTGATTTCCTATTATTGTGGATTGTTTACTGTTTCTATATCAAGACTGAATTCACGAGATGACTGACTGTCGACTTTACAATTTAGCAGAAATTCACGAGAAATAATTCATTAGAAAGTTTCATTGAGAAGCTTTTTCAAACTGCATTAACTCCATTATAAATAATAGCGTCTCTTTCATTTCAAGTCCACAATTCTCATGTTTTGATACTAGATCGATATACGATTATGCCCATTAAACAAACTTCCAGTGCCAGAATAACCCTTTGATAGAACTCGACCGTCCTAACTAACTGAAGGCAACAAAAAAATATTTCCGTCAGCGATGAGTGTGTACTGGGAGCTATAATTTATGACTTTTCGCCATTAGGCTGTTATAGAGTAGGATTTCAAGCTCTAGAAAAGAGGAAACATTTAGGCAGCTCGCGGCATTTCGCCTTCGCTATTTCCCAAATGTCTAGTAGCACATAAATGAATGATAGAAAGATATAAACAACTAAAGAAATCATCATGAAAAAAAATAATATAATATAGGTGTTATGAATAATCAAGAGTGGTATTTACTAGTTTTGTTACTCTCCTCTTTAAGAGAGCTATTTCACCTTACTGGGACTATAAAAGGACACTATACGTGAACGTTGTGTTCTCAGTTCAATAAAGCTTTCTTAAAGCCTCCACCTCCGTAATTTTGTCATTAAAATAGGAATAATCTTAGAAAGAAATAACCAACTAAAGAAATAATTATAACTTCTGAGTAAATGTTTACCCGAAAGAAAGGACAACTTTGAAAGATATATATATATATATATATATATATATATATATATATATATAAGACATTTTTTATTTATGTTTAACGTTGTTATTTTATAGATACAAGTATTTAAGCAAATGCTCTGTTTATGATAAACAGTATTAAATAACATTTACCGGCCTGAATACTGTTTATCATAAACAGAGCATTTGCTTAAATACTTGTATCTATAAAATAACAACGTTAAACATAAATAAAAATGTCTTTAATAAATAAATTGTCGGACCTTGTCCATTTCCTAACATATATATATATATATATATATATATATATATATATATATATATGCGTGTGATAGATATACATATACGCGTACCTACGTTTTTGGTGTATGAGTATAGTTTCGCTGGCTGGTGTTCCCAGTTCGTCAAGCACGGGCCTGAAGAACTAAGAACACCCCCCCCAGCAAAACTATAGTCGCACGCCAAAAACGTAAGTACGCGTATATGTACTAATTAATACTTAGCTTTCCTCTGGATAACCGCATTTAGTGCTATTTATCCACTCTACAACTATATATATATATATATATATATATATATATATATATATATATATAATCAGTTCACCCAAGCAAGGCGTCAATTCAGATGCAAGGGGCTACTGGGAGTGAAAGAAAATGAAAGACTTTAGAAAGAAATCCAGTCCTAAACTAGAAACGAGGAATAAAATTCTACAGCTTTTCAAAACACCTGGACGATAGGTAAGTGTAGTTAAATGAGTGTCTATTCCTCGGACGTCGTTCGTACAATCTAAAATACCTCGTGTTCAATCCGCGGTTTGTGAGTTCTGCACACTTCACCAACGAAAAAAAAAATTCCCCCTTCTCACTGCTTCAGCCCTCTTTTATCATGCCAACATTACAACCGACTAACCAATGAGCTTTCTTCACTTTTGTTCTCAGTTACCCAGGCAAAGAGCCTCGTTCGGCCCAACCAATCAGTACACGACTTGCTATTGGTCGAACCACGCAAAGCTGTACAAAAGCCACCGTTACAGCACATACCGTTGGAACGCGAAGAGGGAATGAAATGCCGATGCTACGTGTCGTGTGTTGAGGTAAGTAACTTATTTCTATTTGCACCAGATGTAAACCACTCTGACTCGCTCGCTTGATTATTCACCGCAGTAAACATATCTACTGATATTTAGGAAATTAGTGTATAAAATTTTAGACTTCAGGCGGAGACGTTAGAAGTATAGGATTGAAGTAGATATTACAAGGAACTTGTAATCAAATCCTAAACAAGGATAAACGTCTACTTCTTCTTTATACCGTTCCTCTTCAGGGCGTAAACGATTATGGGTCTCCTCAATTTCCTATGCTTTGTAGCTCTTAGCAATATGTGACTTTTTATTTAACTTATTCGGACTGTTGTCCTTATATTTATTGCTATCTTCATACCGTCTGCCTTCTTCAGATGATTGGAATTTCGAACAGAATGCTTTAATTCGCCCACCGGGGTAGATTGTTTTAGTTCTACGTACCATGCCCTTTCCGAATGCAGAAGTTATCTCCCTTTAACTCAAATCTAAGTTTTTGTTCACCACTGCACTAGCCAAGTGCTGAATTCACAATTCTTTGGGTCAAGTCACTGGATACAGCTTGAGGACGCATGGCCCAGTGGATAAAAGCCATTTGGGAAAACCAGGTTCTGTAAACTTGAATGCGCATTTCGTGTAATGGATAATGGCTCGGAATTGTTAATCGGAGAGCCGGGTTCCATTTCCATTGGGGTTCGTTATATTCACTTACGCGCAAATACCCTTGGAAAAGACATGATTCTACCCAGTGAGCTTTTCAGTTCAAAATTGAGTTTAAATACGTCAGGTCATGCAATGAACGATCTCTATTCGTATATATGGGCCAAACAATTCTTACAATCTAAATATATTATCGGGTTTTAAATAACCCGATAAATGAGGGACACTTACGTGCAAATAATTTTCGGGCAGGTATGAATGAAACACTTCTCACCCCCCAGCTATGGGTTAATTAGTAAGACTTGTATCACTAAAAACATTTTCTGGCAATGGATTGATAAGGCGTAAAAAACGAATATATCAATCAATTTGTTTCTAATGAAAATTTCTTGACTCTTAATGCATTTTTAGCTTTTGAAAGCGATCTTTCGCCGTCCTGGGTATGATGATAAACTACATCCGTGTCCTGGGTAAGACGATAAACTACATTCGACAGCAAGGCCACTGATCTGGAGGTTTTGCAGAACGTAGAACTACCTCCTGCTGGTGTTCGCAGGTTAAACCTGACGCGGAGTGTTAGCACATGTTAGGGTCCGAGCTGGGGTTAATTTAACCCCCGAATTGGGGTAAAAGCGTTATGAGAGTGTGAAAATAGGTTTTAGTATCACCAATATATTTTGTAAAAAATTATTACCTGCAATAAATTTTTGAAGAAAAAATTATTACCAGCAATATATTATTACCAGCAATACATTTTTGGAAAAAAATGTTACCAGCTATAAAAATCTTGTTGGCATTAAATAACCTATTGAGCTTGATATGCCGTAAAACAAACCAAACTAAATCAATATATACTTAGATAGATAGATAGATAGATAGATAGATAGATAGATAGATATGAAGGGACCAACAGAGACGGATAGACATGAAGAGACTAAGATAGAAATAAAAAAAAATTACCAGCTATAAAAATCTTGTCGCCATTAAATAACCCATTGAGGTTGATATGCCGTAAAACAAACCAAACCAAACTGATATGTACTGAGATAGATAGCTAGATAGATAAATAAAAAAATTACCAGCTATAAAAATCTTGTCGCCATTAAATAACCAATTCAGGCTGATATACCGTAA